ATTACACTAAATAATTACATTTTAATGAGAACAAGTCAATTTCTAATTTGTTTCCTTTATTCTAGAAACAAACCCTTATTCTAGGAACAAACCCTTATTCACATAGACATCTTAGAATATTGTTTTCTACTGCTATATGAAACTTAGCAGAAGAAAAATCACATAATGCTTTTGCCATAATCTCAGTGCTTTGTTGAATTTCAGTTGTGACCTCAAATAGAACCCAATCCCATTTGTCACAGTTGCCATTTACGTATGCTGTGTAAGGAATGTCACTTTTTTTAAACCTTGAAGCCTTCGTCCAAGTTTTGCTCCATCAAGAGACATATTCACTCTCTCAATGCCTCTTCCACAACATGATGCTGCATATCCATTTATACTCACTTGAATTGCAGGAATTATGTTAGAATTTCAGTTCATTTCTAATTAACTACCGAAGTGAAATCAAAAGCATTAGTTACAGAATATTTACGTCAACTAAATGATACATGGAAGTAAATAGTTGAGAATAATTCTAAATGCTAAAGCTCAAAAGACTCTGAATGACACCTAATAATTGTTCAATAATAATCAAACAATGTGAGCAATCAGATGAGAAATATCTGAAGTTGCACAAATCTACACACACAGCCAAAAAGAGAAAGAAGTACCTCATAGAGCTTAAAGGGGACATCATATTCATTATATAACTGTGCTATGCTCTTCAAATCTGATGATAACTCCTTGGCTTTCTCCCGTGTTTCATTGGTGTCAATAGTTGAACTGACATCGGGGACACCGAAAAACGCCACTTCGAAATAAAAATCAAATCCAAATTCGGGATGCAACACATATAAAACAAAAACAGTATGGTTCTTCCATGCAACACTATATAATATCAATAAATAACTACTATTAGCAAACTTATATCGAACCAACATGTAGTGTGGCATGGCAGTGACATTTTACTTAGGAATCATCTTGTAATAATCAAATAACAAAGTCAAATTTCTGTTTGAACACAAGTTACTGGTATTAGAGTTTTATCTACATAAAGAACATTAGGCAGTAATTTTACAGAAATCACTACTCACTGGAAGAGAAAAATATGACATGTTTCAGTTTCATCATAAAAAAAGAAAATGATGTTCAAACAAGATTTTCTCTAAATTATAAAATAATGAAGCTCATGTTTGGCTTCGACGATCTATTTCCATAATACTTTCCTCAACACAAGCCACCTACCCCAAGTTACTTGTTACAATGTATTAATTCTTAATCTCTGTTAAATTGGATATACAGTCTGGTGGATCACCAGAGCTCAATGTCTACTAAGGGTACAAGTACAACACTACATACAAAGGTAACAGATCATATAGTCACATCAGCCAGGACCTGGAAGTTCCATTGGGGCCAAAGATCTAGACGCTAAGTGAACACCAGCTCCCCTCAGTGACAAAGGAGGGCCTCTTACTGAGCTTGCTCTGCTGACAAGATTTGAGTCGAGAAATACTACTACAACTGTAATGTCATCGTGAAAATGACGGCGGACACCACGGTCAATTTTCTTCAGATCAGAGTACCTCATCTCTCTTTTCTTCGCCGCTTCAAGCAAAGCCACTTTGATCAGCTTCCGAGCACTCCCCTGCAAGATAGAAAACATGTAATGTCTACAATACATATATCCTCTACTCGCTTATGTTGATATTTGAAGTGTAGTAACTAAGCAATAAAATTTAAAAACCATATAACATAGAAACAGCCATATATTGCATTCATCTTTCTTTCTAACGTATAGTATATTTATCTTACACTATGAGGGTGATTTTGAACTATATCAACAGCATCCTGATTGCTAAGGTGTTCCCAAAGACCATCAGAGGCAAATATCAGAAATTGATCGTGCTCTTGTAGCTCATGAGTAGAAATGGATGGGTCAGAGCTCAAAATTGGACTTTTGAAAGTTTCCCGAAGGCGAAACTTAGCATACAGTGGTTCCTTGTTAAACTCTGCCTTTTTAAGGTATACATCACCAATGGATCTAGAAACCTGCCACACAAAACAAACATAAGCTGTATTCTAAATAACAAGTCCAAATAATTCTCCATCATATGGAGACCAAATTCACTTGAAACTTTAATCCTTTATGTAAATTTATTTCATTTGCTGTGCTGGAAGATCTTTGAATCAAGAATTAAATACTTCTTAAAACCTACAATTACAGGAAAGTTTCCCTGAGTTTTACTTCTTATTCTGATGTATTCACTCAATTTACCATCTCCTTGCTTTTCAATGCTCACATTCACCAATGCATCTTCACCAAAAACACTCTTAGCATAAAGGTTTGCAGCTAGGAAACCACACTCTCCTTCCAATGCAGACCTGAAATAGAGACAGCAAAAACCAAATTAATCAAATTGCCCAGATCCCCCAGCCAAATCAAGACATGGCAATTGCATGAAATGTAGAAATATTAATGACTCCAAATCAAGACATGGCAAATCAGGCAAGTTTTTTAACTGAAACAGTTTTGCTTCAAAAAACAGATTCCTGGTAGTAGATACTCAAGCACACACAAGATAGCAGCCATGAAATATATGCAAGTAAAAGAAACTCACGGCGGAGTTAGGCACTTCATATTTGTAGACTTGATAATGTGGCCCAGAAACTCCCTCTCATCTTGTAATACTGTATTTACAGCAACCTATAACATAACATAAAGTCAGTAAAATAATCATAAATACAACATCTAGTTAATGCAGAAACACATGTTCTGAGCTATATCCCCATCGCATTCATGCTCCTTGATGATGGCTAATTTTAACTATATATTTAAGATGTGAGTTTGACCCTAGTCTAATCATGAAACTGATTGGAGTGAGGAATGAGTAACTCTATACTGTGGTCCAATAATTTTTTTTGATGAATTGCATTTCTCTGATTCTGGTACGGCCATAAACAGTTTCCCGTTCACATCAAGACAGGCCCAAATTGTGTCAATGCAACAGTAAAGAGAAACCTCCCCATTTTTAGCTTCCTTCGGGCAACAAACTTTAAGAGCAGATCCTGAAACTTCATGTGAATTCATTACAGAGGCCTAGGGGTGATTTTCCTCCTCCATTTAGAAAGATTAGCAGCTAGTATATTTTGCATGTACAAATATACATTTAATAAAAAATATGTGATATTCTAACACACTATTGTATCTAGCCAAAAGCATCAGGGTATCTAATTAAAAAATATATATCAACATCAATAAGCCTGTCAGATTGACCCAAACAGAAGTATCACACATAACAACAAATATAGTAAACGAAAGACAAATATAAGAGTCAGTATCTGATTCCTAACTCAATGAAATTCACACTCAAATAGAGATGTAGAGAAGTAGGAGCAGCAGCATATAAATTACCTCATTTATTTTTATCGCCTCTTGGGATAAATCATATGTACAGAAAACACACATCACAGTCACAGATGTCAATTTACTCAACACAGACAAAAATATATATAGACTCAGCATGTTACTTTTCGGGTTCATTGACAGGATAATAGATATACCAACTTCAATGTGAAAATATTTTTTATTTAAGTAACCGAACAATACATATAACAACTACATCCCCTAATTAATAAGGTTTAGTGTTAGCCAATTTCTCTCAACCATCCAACTATTTTTCTTAGACAACCGTAGGCATATTTCATGCCTTCATTCCATTATTAACACTTACACTTGTAGAGATGCGGCAGAATGAGAGTATACAATAGTATAAGGCTTCTGTATTATTGGCTCAAACTCCTGAAATATAACATTAAGACAATTTTCAATATATTTGAAAGCATAACAGGATGAGGGAAAAAATACAGATTAAAACTTAATGATCATAATAAAAGAGACTTATGCTTGTTAACACTCAACAGTAAAATATGTCAAGCTGAAGGGAGCAAAATATAAATCACCTTCGCCACATAAAGCACAAATTGCTCCAGATCACTGAGCAAAAAATGAGCCCCCACAACAACCATGACAGGACGACCTTCACTGTCCACCCCTCCACGACAGCTGAAAAACGCAAACATCTTTGAAAATAAAAGTAAATTTCATTTTTAATTCATTCATGAAAACTTCATATCAATTGGTTAAGAAACAAAAGATATTAAACTTTAAAGAGTATAAAACTTCATTATTCGTTTATCAACTATTAAAATAAATATATGTTCTCTTATGTGGAAGAACATCACTGTCATCATTACAGAACTGCCTTATAAAGTAATCTAGAGTGAAATATAAAATATGAAAAATTTCTTACTAAAAATTACTGACCTGCGAACATGCCAATATCACTAACAGGAAGATCAACTGGTTCTTGAGAAGGTTTTGGACCCTTTTTTTTTAGGCAAAAGCTTTATTCTGATTTTACGCTCATCATCTCACCATTCTCATCCCCAACATCCGCAGAAAACCTATTTTAATATTTAAATGTAATTTTGTTCCTAAGGAGAGAGAAGAGGACTGCCACTTGTTTCACCAAGCTTTCTTCATCATGGTATTTTCCTTCTATAACATCTTCGTTCATTCTTAACCTCTAATTAACTACTTCGTTGTGTAATTTCTTTTATTCTTTAGTGAATCTCTTTTATAGTGAATCTGATTCAAATTAAACTGCTTTAATGGTATTTAGAAATCATTAGGGGGTACAATTTGGGAATTATAAAAATATGTAGAGTGTGAGATTCAAAAGTCTAACATGGATTTTTAAAAATTGGTCTAAAGGTGAACTTTTATTCTTTGGTAAATCTCTTTTATAGTGAATCTGATTCAAATTAAACTTCTCCCAAATTTAATGGTATTTAATAGAAATCATTAGGGGTACATGTTTAGCTAAAGAGGTATGAATATCAATTTTCTTAAAATTAACAAAAACCGGGCCCAATAACATTTACCAAACATAAAATAAAGTTCCCGTTATAAGGTTTTTCAGTTGTTCCTTTAGAACAAGAACCCTCACGTTCCGACAAAAATGGCAGAAACCGCCTCAGCGGAACAGGAAATTATCGCCGCCACCGTCGATTCAGAAATGAACTCTAAGACCTTTCAGAAGCGAGCCGGAGACGAGGAAGATAAAACTGTTTCCAAGAAGCAAAAGGTTGACGCGGAAGAAGAGAAGAAACCATCAGGCCCTGTGAAATTGGGTAACAAAAGTTTCGGCTCTTCTCTGAAGTTGTTCGATTACTTCTACAGTTTCCTTCATGCTTGGGGTCTTAATCTTGATGTTAGCAAGGTTTTTATTTCATCTATCTAATTCATTATCTATTGATTTCACTACTTGCATTGTTTGTATTCTATACATAGTAGAATTGATGCAAAGCGGTTACTAATCTGTACCTCAGATGAGTTTTATTATAATTGGATTGAATTTTACATAACTGATTTCTCAGGCTATGTTTGGGAGGTAACTTTTGTTTTTAGTGTTCCCTGAATTGGGGTTTTTTCGGACTCAAAATTGCTGAAAGATATAACTGATTTATTAGATCTTATCTACCAGCATAAGCACTTCGAAGAGTGTTTGGGAAAATTTATTAAAAGAAAACAACTTATGACTTATTTTCGTAAGCTCTTCAAGATATCTAATGATAACAACTTATATAAAAACTGAACCGCTTGCTTTGCTTTAATTGGGCTTTTCATCACTTCAGCAATCTTGTTATGTTAATTCTGTGATGTTCCAATGTATAAATTTGTTTGTTACTTAAGATTGATTTTGGGTTGTTTTTGTGTGGCAGTATGAACACACAATGTTACTGGACTTACTTAGGAAAGGTCATCCAGAGCCCGATGAAAAGATTGCTGGAGAAATCTGTGCTTTCCAAGTCCGCAAGCATCCTACGTGGAAAAGCAAGCGTTTTTTTCTCATTAGGGATGATGAATCAGCGGATGACTTTAGTTTCCGTAAATGTGTGGATCGAATTCTTCCCTTACCAGAAGCGATGCAAGTGAAACATGATGCAAACAGAGCACTAGGAAAGCGTGGTGGTGGTGGGAAAGGACGTCAACGTCAGGGAAAAGAGAAAGTGAAGACATTGAGTTTAAAAGTGAGTGACTCCTGACTATTGCTGGTCTTGGTTGTATTTTAAGATTATGGGAAATGCTAACGAGTGCTTTAGGGCACTCTCTAAGGTTATGGGAAATGCTAACGAGTGCTTTAGGGCACTCTCTAAGGTTATGGGAAATGCTAACGAGTGCTTTAGGGAACTCTTTAAGGCTTTAAAATAGTAAGTTTTTTTTAGGAAATGTGTGTATTTAATGCTTTAGGAAATGAAATGGTTAACTTTTCTATAAGTTTTTACTAACAATAATATTTACGTTAGACGTTCTGTTTTGCATTGAGTAGACTACAATGCCATCAGACTGGGATTGCATCTCGTCCGTTAATTATAGATGAACCAGTTTAAATTAACCGTTACTAAATCTCATTCAATGATCTTGAACTGGTGCCGCCCCATGTTGTAACTACAGGTAATTAAAATTGCATGGATATATATTTATTTGCGCACCTGAATTATGATACTCAATTATGGGTGGCATTGGATCTATGATCATTGAATACGAATAATGAGTATGATGTGCATAATGTGATTCATCAACTTATTATTAGGGTTGTTCAGCGTAGAGTTCGTCTCGGCTTAACCGAACCGAATCATAATAATAGTTCAATCAAGTTAAACTGAACCATTTCAATTTGTTTAGAACCGAGCCAAACTAATTATTTATCATGTACACTGGTTCTGAGTTCTAAACCATACTGAACATTTAATAATTTTTTTCAGTATTTTTCTAAACTCTGTTCTTCACTTTCCTTTAAAGATATAATGTATATTAGAGAAATAATGTATATTAGAGTACTCTTCTTTAAAAAGAGTAGCCATGTTCTGAGGAAATTAGAACAACGGCAGAAGGATCGTCAGTTGGATCCACACATTGAAGAGCAGTTTGGCGGTGGAAGACTGCTAGCTTGCATTTCTTCCCGACCTTTCAGCTACATTTTGGAAGGGCAAGGGGGCTGCTTGATGACTTTCCAAATTTTTATTTTGCTTTAATGTTTTTGACAATATTACTTTGGTTTTGTTTTAAACTTATTAAACTTGTTGGCTTGTTAGGAGCTTCATTTGTACAGTTGATTTTCTTTCTGTTAACCTTTTGTCTATTAAAGCAATGGTTATTAACCATTCTTTCCTCATAAACTCAAATATACTTATTACATACCTTTGTGTTGACAGTTGATTTTCTTTCTGTTGTTAACCTTTTGTACTATTAAAGCAAAGGTATGTAAAGGATAACTCAGTCCTACAAGCAAGTAGGCTTTGAGGTCACTTGATGTAAAGGATAACTCAGTCCTACAAGCAAATAAGAGGGGAGACTCTGCATTAAGATGAGAGATCAATGTGTCTTATCCTGCTAATATATTTGAAAGCTTTTATTTATTTATTTCTTTTCCGTTGGTTTATGGTAAGCCCTTTTCATATATGAATTTGTCAACATATATGAATTTGTCAACATAGCCTTGGTTCGAGTGGCACCAAGTCTCTTGGAGGCAACTTGATCTCAGGAATTGTCCGAACCACATTGAAGCTGCTTTGCATTTTTCTATAAGAAAAACCCATCATCATATTAGATGCCATATTGAAGCTGCAAATCCATATTGAGGCTCAGGTCTGTCAAGTGAACTTGTGTTTTACCCTTTTGAGGTGGACACCGGTCCAAGCTAATAGCTTCAAGGATTTAAATGCCATTAACACAAGGAAATTTTTTACTAAATTCTTTACTAACTTTTATTTAAATGATTACTTTTCTTATGTTTTGCTGACATTTTTTATTTTTATTTTTGTAGATGTTGGTTTTGTTGAAAAAATGGCAACATAGTGCTATAAACCTTCTGTAATAGTGGGTCTAGGAAAGGATTATGCTCAAAATTTTGTAGTCTGTGTGCATCACACCAAGTCTTAGTCGTCTGTTATAAATTTTAACCTCAGAAAACTTGTAAGATTTTTTTTTATAGACTCTAGATTACCTTGGGTATTTAAGGTGCATGGGCGATAGAACTGAAATAAAATGTAATGTGTTTGTGCTTTGTATTACTTACTGAGCTTTGGTTAATTATCAGTAGCAGATAATTGTATAAAATGTTAACGTTTGGAAATCTCAAGGACCAGAGAAAAGAAATTATCCCAGGCAATTTAAGAGGTCTGGATTTCTCTCCATTGTACCAACCATACTATGGTCAGGCATGAACCAACAATTATTTTTATTTAAATTTGAATAAAATGTTTATTTTACAAATTCCTTTCTTCAAATGTCAAATATTTTGTTTTTATAATTATTATTTATTTTATTATTAAATAATTTATTTTAAATTTATATATAAATCTAAATATAATTTATACTGTATCAATTAAATTTACTCATCTTACTAGTTTACATTCATGAAAACTAGTTAATCACATCTGTTTCATACCTGTGAGCCTTTTGTTGATATCTTTTAAACTACGTTTTTAACTAGATGGTATAGATGAATGATATTCCTATGTTAAGTATATTTTAGATTCTTTTGTTTAGCATGTTTTAAAACACTCAAAAGTCTACACTTGACGTGGTAGATCATCTAGAAAAAAACCATCCTTAAGTGGTATAAGATTTTAGGCTAAGCATGCTGTTTTAATAATATGGTTCTGCAATTGATTTGGAATGGTTGTTCTTGTTTTGCCTTATGAAGCAAGAAAATAAATGTGGGTGATTCATAATTAGTTTGGATCAGTTTTAAGTTAAAAAATATTCAGACCGATTAAATTTACAGTTTTTTAAAATTAAACTAAATCAAATTAATCGATGTAATTTAGTTTGGTTCAATTCGATATAATTTTTTTTAAATAATACATTTTTATCTTGAAATAATTTCTATTGACTTTTAAAGCAATTGTTTTTTTTCCAAATGACTTCTTTCACATTCTATTTATAAAAAAACTTAAATCTAAATTAAATAATTCATGTAACATAATTTTGATAGTTCCCCAAAAGTTACAAACATATTGTCTTAGAGCATCTTTAGTGGGAGTAAACTAAATGGGTAAACTAAAATACTTTTTGTGGGCCCAAAGTGATTTGTAGGATTTAAAAAATTTATAGTTGATATGAGTAGTTTTTACTTTAATGATGGTTGTCTATAAGAAACCAAAACTTGACCCCACATGGTATTAAATGGTTAATAAAAATCTATTATTTATGTTGAATAATTAATAAAAATCTATTATTTATGTTAAATAATGAGTTAGAGTACGTTGCTTGTGTAGAGCACGTAAACTAGTTTTAGAGCATCTCATATGCCATGTCAGCACTAATATAATGCAAATTCTTTATTACTAACGTAAGCTATAAAGAATTTTGGTTTAGCAACCCTGTACTAAAGTTGCTCTTACAATTAAATAAATTTATACAATACATTAAAAATAATGATAGGTTAGCATCAATTACAAATAAATTAATACTAAATATTTAAAATGGTGATAATTTGTCATCAATTATAAATACTCATCTTAGAAATAATTCGTTATAAAATTAAGAATACAATTAAAACAAAACCAACAATCAAAATAGAGATTGAGACAATGGTTGTGGTGAGTGAAATAATAGAAGTGACTAAACACTTAGTGGCCATTTAGCGGTGAAACTTAGTTGTAGTTTGTGAAGGAAAGAAGTCAAGTGATGTAATTTAGGTGTTTTTAATTTTTGATCATTGTATTTTAAAATTTAAATTTTTGATTTTTAGTTCTTTTAAAATTTTGTTGGTATCCTTTAGTTTACGTGACAACAATAGATAAGTTAAAAAATATATTTTTAATGACGTAACAATTAAAAGAATTCATTTATTAATAATTTTTATAGAATAAATTAATAATTTCAATTTAAAATTTTTTTATATAAAATTTATTCTAAAATTAATTAATATAAATTTTAAAATAAACAATCCATAAGTAGACGCTAAGTAATGTTTGTCTAAGATAATGTAGAACTTGTACATTTCTTCAGATAGTATCAAGATTTAACCAAATCAATACTTTTCCTAACCAATGGCATCCGAACCGCCTCCATAAATCCATTTTCCATTACCATCATCATCAGAAACAACAACAAAATTAAATGGAATAATTTTAGGACCCTCTAAAACACATTTCAATGAATGCAAAATTTTCCATTCTTTTCTCCATGCCTTAATTTTCCCATCTGCAGAAGCAGAATAAACAACCCATTTACACATTACCAACCCATTAGTAACATCATCATGAGCTTTAATTGACTCCAAATACTTTAAATTAGAAACACCTCACACTTTAAGTGTCTTATCCCTAGTTGTTGCCATACTATGATATCTTTTCCTTGTGAATTACTCAATATGAATTCACTACATAAGACTACTAAATATGAAACGGAGCCAACATGTCCTGAAAGAATAGCCAATGATCGATGAGAAAATGATTTGCATGGTGGTAGGTTGCAGTTGAGATGTGATAGGTCTTATACGTTGTAGCTATCATTGTTTTCAGTGGTGTTACAACTACTGGCATTGCTCTTAGAACTTAATAATGGGGTTGTTACAAGATGAAGTTACTTCAAGTGTAAGCAATTGAAGATGATTTGTTTGACATGTGATCAAAGTAGAATAACTACTTATAACTACTTAACTAACAGTTAGTTACAATTGTTGTAAAGTAGTTAGAGATTATATCACCATATTTGTAGCTCCATAGAACATAGCATGCATCCTTACTTGTACTATAAGTAACCATTAATTCTCCTCCTCCTCCTCCTTCTTCTGCTGCCGCACTTGTTTCATTGCTTCTTTTCCCATTCATCAAGAATTGTTCTAGATCTCTTTCTGTTTTTACTTATTAATCCATTCTTTCATTCATTTCCATGCCTCCACGCGCCGCTCTGGTTGGTCAGCAATCTGACATTGGTTTTATCTACTATGTTCATTCAAATGAGGGTCCAAATTCAGTTTCCATCACTCCAAAGTTGAATGACTCTAATTACCTCGCGTGGAGTAAATCCATGC